TGGCTTTAACGTTCCCCCACTTATATACCATATAAACCACCCCTTTATAGTAGACCCCACGTGATAGTAAAAATTTTTCTGGCGATGCTGGGGAAGATGTTATAATCGACCAGTTAGCCAATCAGAGTTTACTCCGCAGTTGAATTATATGACTATAATTCACATAGCTACGAGGCAAACGCTCAATTTATAAGAAAATATGAAAAAATAAACAAAAAAACTGCGTACGGCATATCACTTCAAGCATGGAAAGGAAAATAATACGAAAAGACATTAATAAACTAAGTAAAAACGCGCCATCAACATGATCGTGTTCGCTGTTTCGGAGCAAGTATAGGGTAAGAGGAATGCATAATAGACGACCTGCTCCATTCAAACTTATAGAAATTTACTATATTTATCAGAAAGTGATGCACAGATATGCAAGTGTTATACCAGATACTGATAAAGGAAAATTGATAACCAGTATTACCCAATGATGTAATTATATAAATGTCTTGTAAGTGGAAACTGAATTCACCGCATTTTAAGGAGAATAAAAGCCGCTATCCTAAGTTGTGAGAAATAATTAGTGCGCCATATAAACAACCCGGGGTCTCTTACATTTCACCCTCTTATTTAATTAGTAAAAAAAGAAAATTATTAGTAAAAAATCACGTGGGGTCTACTATAAAGGGGTGGTTTATATGGTATATAAGTGGGGGAACGTTAAAGCCAGGTGCGTTAGAATTACTTTTTTGATGCAGTTAGTGTTACGTTTTTGATGCAGTAATGGTTAGGTTTATATAAATATATCAAGAAGATAATTTATGCAGTTGTAGATCATATCCAAGTTTATACCAAACGCTAACGGACCCCTATAAGTGGATTAGGAATATATATACCGGGTGTTTGATAAAAAAACGTAATAGTTTTGATAATTAAAGTGATCAATAAAAAGGTCTGTCCAGGGACTTATCAAACACCCGGTATAAAACCCCGTTTTGGGGGGTTGATTTTATCATACTGTATGTACACCCTAACCCTAACTCTAATTTAACCAAATCCAGGGATTTTACGAAATCGATTCTGGAATGTTCTCCTAAGCGATGATTGGCTTATAATCACGCTTTTTTGCTGAAGTTTTTTGCTCTTTCGTAATATCTATCGCAAATAATAACCGAGTAGAAAATAAATTCTTAGGCTTACACTAAGGTTGGTTTAGTTTCTACGCTTCCTTTTCCTTATTCTTATATTCATGTTAAACATTTCTGTGACGTCGTAGAGCTCTTCATTGCTTTGTACGTGTGTGTGTCATGTGCCATAGCTTGAAAACCTTGACTTATATTACAATTAACTTAATTACTTTTGAATACAAAACCGTGATTTAGCTTTAGTTTTTTTCTTTTGTTTTTATTAATTTATTTTATTTTTCTAATGTTTTATTTATTTTTTTTCTCTAGACGTAGACTTACAGCATTACGGCAATGAGTTTTAGATACATTACAATTATAGAATAGATAGAATTTAGCTTAATTTAATCAACTATCATTGAAGGGTGTGTGTAAAACAGCAAGGTCATATTATCGTTGATATCTCATGTTTGATCGATTAAATCAAATAATTTATATACCATTCGATTCAAATTACTAGTTGATGAGATATCTTTATTCAAACTTGTATTTGATAATTGTAGTAACGAAGGTTTCATACTAAATAAATTGGCTTGATTCATTAAGTAAAATTATTCGCAGTATAAAACTTTATGTAATTTTAGATTTTGATGAAAATTTGATAATTTTTTATTAAATCTTCAAATTATATATTACTATGTATTTTTCTCGTTAATCCGCGACAGTAAATACCCCAACTTTAGGTAACTAAAGTTGAATTTGACTGAAATTAACACCTGAAATTATACAGCTGCCTAAAATTGCAACCTTAGGCAGGTGCTAACTTCAGGCATGACAAATAGTACTTTTACAATAGTTTTATAGTTTTATTATTTGCAACTTCAACATCACTAGCACTTGAATCATATTCATCCAAACTATAATTACTTCAGGATTAATGATAGCTTGCCGAATCGTTACTGGGGTTCATAAAGAAATGGATATTTATTATTGCATCGAACCTTACTGTAAAAAAGTATGTTATCCATATTTCCTAGTGGTAAAACTAAATGCAAAGTGCAAACAAATATACAGTAGTGTCGTCGATATCAATAATATCAAGTAAAGTAAAAGTTTCTTCATATTTTTCGATTTTGCTTTTTTTAATACGTGTTAAACATTCAGGACGTATTTTTTTTCTTTTTTTTTTACAAAATTTGTATTTTCTGCACGATTTGCAATATAAAAAATTCATCGTAGATAAAAAAAGTGTACAGTTTTATCTCTTAATTAAAACAAATTACATGTATTATCGTTGTTGATTATTAATCAAAATAAATAAATAAATTGTGCATATTGAGCCATCTGAACTATAAAATTGAGATGTAGCAACTGTCGTTGATTTTTTTGAGTTTGTTTACGACAAGAGGGATAGCTTATTTTCAGCAGTAGCTTACTTTCGGACACATGTTTTTCAAGGCAAGATTATAACGAAAAGTTTCTCAAAAATTGTGATAAAAATAGATTTGTTTGTTGAAAAATAATTTAAATACAGTAATCTTAAATATGACGGACAACAATTTAATCTTAATAAAATTTATATTTTGTGATAATGATTTTGCAATTTTTCTGCTCAAGAAAATTAATTATATACAAGACATATATAGACAGTTAAATTTTTCAAATTTTCCTAAATTTATGTAATATATGATTTAAAAAAAAAACATTTTTTGTTATGTGTACAATAAAAAGCGTGTACGTATAAATTTATGTTGCGGCTGAAGCTGGAAACGGCTGAAGCTGGAAATTTTAAATATTTTATTATGAAATTTTCAAAATTTTTTGGGGTGCATTTTTTTAGCTAGTTTTTATAATGAAAGAGTATAAGTGGATTTTGGCAGGGTTTATATTTTTAAATCAGGGTCCCTGATTTCCAGCTTCAGCCGTTTCCAGCATCAGCCGCGACAATTTATTTTTTCACCGATCATAAACTAACGTACGTTACTCTTAATTTACGAATGAAATAAGTCGATTTCGAACAACATAAATCGAAACAGCATACGAAAATTGACAAGTAGTGCACTGTTACGTATAAGAAAAACAACCCAAAATAGTCACTTCAATGTATCCGATTTAGCACCAACAACAAATATACAAAAATGTTTTTCTAGTTATATTTTTCAAAGTATTAACTTACATACATAATACTTTTCTTTATTCTTACTCATAATACATTTCTTTATTCATTGCTCGATATGTTTCAGATTCCAAAGTTTCTTTCCAGTCATCTCCATCGAAACTATAATCGAACCTTCGACAAAACATTATGCAATCATAACATAATGAAATTACTTATTGTCGAAAACAGTGAGGTTCAAATTGAGGCCTGCAAATTGCTTATTTTTGTGGATCGCGGGTCTCAATGCAGGAATCTAGTTCAAATAAAACTAAAACGATAATGAAAATTTTTATTAAACATGGTCATCAAAAAAATGATACTTTTACACTGTGGGTTTTGTCAATTTCACTTTCATACAAATCGACAGAGTCGCTCGGTTAAGCATAATTCACTCCAAGATGGTACAATGTAATGAAATAGCGTTGTATTATATCTTTTTTAAATTAAAATTTTCCATGCACAAGTATAATTTTTGAACAACACTTCTTACCCAGAGAGCTAAAGAAAACAATCATTCTTGACTTCAAAACATAATACAGCATGATAAAATCGTATAACACAATCGTTTAATCTTGCTATCCAAATACCTATAATTGAAACACCCTTTTATAGAAAATAATAATAAGAACATACAAGATTCATAAAATAAATATCTATAGAAATATAGAGATTATTGTTAAAATTATAGGATAACTTTAAAAAAGAAAAAAAGAGAAACAACGTTAAAACCTTGAGATTATAACCTTTTAGATTAACACTCGAAAAGGTCGAACTTTTTCAAAGATAAACGACAGAATATTACATAAACCATAAAAGAAAAAGAAATAAAACAACAATGGTCGAAATGCTTCGAAAATAAATCGACAGAATATTGCATAAACCATATAAAAGAAAAATAAATAAAATAAAATAAACCAACAATGGTCGAAATGTTCGAAAATAAATCGACAGAACATTACATAAATCATATAAAAGTAAAAGAAATAAAACAAAATAAACCAAAAATACATCAAGACTTATCATCTGCGGAAATTTGGTCACTATTAAATGAAAATTCTTCAATAAATTCCTTATTTGAAATAGAAATAGCGATCTGTTGAACCTCAACTAGATCTTGTAATGCGGCGACTTGAGAACGAAGATTATTATGTTCTTGAATAAAGGAAGAAAGCTGAGAACGGAGATTATTATTTTCCTGAATAACAAAGGAATTCTGAAATTTTAAGTCAGCAATTTGATATTCTAAAAAAGCAACCCGAAGTTGGTCCGGTTGATGTTCTGTAGGTTCAGAAGACCCAATACGAAAATTATGAGTACCGGGTGCGGAAGGATTATTAAAGGAAATGTTAGCAGAAGACCTAGAAACCCTTCGTTGTTGAGCCATAGTGACAATTATCATCGATCGGCTGTCCAATCAGAATTTACTCCGCAGTTGAGTCACGAGTCAAGTTATCGTATGGTGGTCTTCAAGGCAAACCGACTCAATTTATAAGAAAATATGAAATAATACCTAAAAAACTGCGTACAGCATATCATCAAAGCTCAGACAGGAAAGATAGCGCGAAAAAAAACATTAAATAATTAAGTAAAAACACGCTATCAACATGACCGCGTTCGCTATTTCGGAGCCAGCATAGAGTAAGATAGCTGCACCATGGGTGTACAATTGGGTGTTGTCAAGTGAAATAGTATGAAATATCGTGTAACCCTTTCAACTACTATATTTATCAAGAAATGGTGTACAAAAAACCGAAATTGTACCGAACAAGGAAAATTGATGAACATTGTGTACTGCTGAATGACCCCCATAGGTACGTACGAAGGTGAAGGTTATACGCGTTTTGTTAGTAAAATAGTGGTGGCAGAAATAATGCGATATCACGTGATGTAGATCATTTCCGATGTGGGTTCCGACCTACTATGATATATTACAAATCTAAAAAAAATCTTAAATTCGAATGAAGTTTTATGATTATAACTTGTTCAAATTTAACAAAATTTTTTTTTTATTTAAAATCTAATATCTTGCATTAGTCGATTAGGAGTTTTTGCCTCATTTGAATAGGTTTTCGATTCTAAAAAACACAAAGAAAAATAATGTAACACGATGTAACATGATAATCAATTTGCATTAATTTTTTAACATTAACGTTAATACGTTTGATATCACGATCGATATATTCTTATACTGGTTCATAGATCCGTTTGGATTTTTATAGCGTTTAAGATAATTATGGTGTTATATATATAGTAAGTAGGAATAGAATTTTGTTAATTCAGAATTTTTAAGGTTTGGGTTAAAATTTTCCTACTTACAACGCCGAGTAAAGATAAGTATTTCCCGTTATCAAGAATTTGCAGATATCTATTTTTAATAGTTTAAGTATTACTAATGCAGTAATTTAAAAAAAAATTAAAACGCCATTGGTGTTAGATCTGAAATTGGAGAGTGGCATGGAATAATTAGTATTTAAAGGTAAATTATTTATTATACATATTTTTATTGAAAGTATATTTGACAATGTATTAATTTTACTAAGAATAATATTTATTAATTTAAATGTTAGGCTGTGCAAAGTTGATTTTTCGTTTGCCTTACTCGACTAACCCATTTTTTCAATGTTTTTTTTTTAAAAAATTCCTTCTTTAAATCTCAATTGTGCCAATTATTCGTTTTTTGTCATTTATTTTTTTTTTATCCGTGTCACCCGATGAAATTTTAACTTCCCGTAATTATCCAATAGAACTGACAAAAAAAATACGATTGAACTCAATTATCCGATTCCTTGTCATGCACAACGAAAAATTAACTTTGCATAGCATTAGATATGAACATTATTCTATTTCGATTAAGGGTAGGGTGTACAAATTTCCAATTTCATATAAAATAGATTGTAGATCAACTTTGTGTAACGAATTTTATA